TTTGGAAGGTATATCTGCTCCTAAGCAATGCTATAGGATTCTCTGTCGGGGCGGGGGCAATAATTTGCTTCAGGAATGAATGTTTTGCTGGTGAGGTCCACTTGGACTGTTGGCTGCTGGTATGGCCACTCTGCTAGCCTGGCTGCTCTGTTTAAACGTCTAGATTTGTGCCTGTCCAGGCCAGAGTTTTCTTCTAGTGGTGTCTACCCTCAGTCACTCAGGGTACCTAGATATCAGCAGGGAAAATCTTAGACTTCTCCATTTCTTCCTTCCATCACTTGTATGTGCAAAGCACAGATTTCCTCTTTACAGGTAGAGCTGTTATAGGCTTAAATTACTTCAACTACTTAAATAGTTAAGGTACCTAATCAGGGATTCTCTCTTTTTATCATTTTTCATCTACTTACAGCCCAATCCAGAGCCTAAAATCTCACCCTGACCCTGTCTTTCTCTCTCTTTAAAAAAAGTTTATTTTTATTTTAATTAAAAAGGTAATATTTGTTCATTGTGGTGAAATTAGAAAATAAAAAAAATTAATAATCACTGTGAATAACCTCTACTAATATTTTAATATATTTTCTTTCAGGTTTTTTTTTAATGAGTGCCAACATAAACACACATACACGCACACACACACACCAAGACACATGCACAGTGTACATAATAGCTTAAATGTATTGAGCAACTATTATGAGCTAGGATTTCTGCTAAGCATTATAAAATACATTTGATCCTCCCAACAACCACATAAGATTATGTGGAGGGAATTATTGTTTTTGTTTCTGTCTTCAGGCATCCATCTCCCCCACCTTCCCTCTGACATGGTCACCACTCAGTCTCACATGCCCCTTCTTACTCAATCGCCACTGGCTGGGAGCGAAGGAATTTACCTGAGGATGTAATCCAAGACTTTAATCTCCTGCCCACGTGTTCCTTGAGGCAAACTTTACCTTGGAATGCAAGGACACATCTCATTCATCCGCTCCCATGCCCTAATCTTTGAGACTAATCAGATAACCTAATACTTTTGCCTTTGGCATTTCTATAGAATAGTAAAATAGCTAAAAATCGTATATGGTGGCCCCACACAGACTCTTGCACTGCAGCTCTGTAATGCCCATGGGTCCTGTCCCCATGCTGAGCACAAAATAAAGGTGCACCAAAGAACGAGGGGCTCGTGTCTGAAAATTCTTTTTCGACTCGCGACTCAGCGGCCTCACACCACATCTACATGGGGCACTGCCCCAGGGTTTCACCTTGGGTCTCCAGTCCTGGTGGGGTGGCCAGTCTAGTGCTCTATCCTCTTCTGGCAAAAGGTTGGACACATATCCCATGACAGACCAATCAGATGCCCTCCCCATAACTGAATCTTGAATAGAATGACTCAGAAAGACTTAGCAACAATTTTATTGTATTCATCCAAGTGGTGCTCTCCTGAAAAGACTTCCCATAGTTTTTGCTACCCAGATCTGATGAACTGCTCAGGGACTTGCCCATTCCCATGCTCAGTTCTTCAGATTTTCCTCTGAATCTGTGAGCTTTCCCATATCCTCGCAACACCATTGTTTTTTTAATAAAGTTACCCAGGTTTGATTTCTCCCGCCTACCACGAAAAATTCCCTAACTAATATAGAAATATACAAGTATTATTCTAGTTTACAGAGACTGAAACTGAGGCTTACTGAAATTAAGCGACTTATCCAAGATCATTCAGTCAATAAGAAGTCACATCAGGTCTCTATAACACTAAAGTTTGTGATTAATTTTAACCAACTCTCTTCTCAATCTTCTCTCTGTATAGATACATAGGGGTGTGTGTGTGTGTGTGTGTGTGTGTATTTTTATATGTATTCTTCCACAGTTGAGATCCGACCATATCCGAAATTTTAATCATTCTCAGTCTTTAGTTTCTTCATCTGATAATAAAATCACTGTAGAAAATTTCAAAATTACTGTAAAGTATAAAGAAGGTAAAACTTACCCACAAAAACTTACCCATTATTCCAATACCTAGATATCATTATTACTATTAACGTTTTGGTTTATTTCCTTTAGTCTCTCTTCTCTTTCTCTCTTTTGGTGTGTGTATATAACACATATGCATACACACATAGGCATCCACAAATAAATAAATAGAGACAGAAAAAGAGAGATATTCACACTGCATATACAGATTTGTATCATCACTTTTTTCTTTCAACATTATTTTGTAAGCACTTTCCTGAGTAACTAAACTTCTTTCAAAATAATAGCTACGATATATTTCATCGGATAGATATACCATAATGTATTTAAGCACTTCTCTTTCAAACATTTAATGGCTGTTTCTTTTTTTGCTTTGATAAATAGGACTGCAATCAACAAATTTGTACATTTTAAAGGTTCTTGATATATATTGTCAAAAACTTTTCAGGAAGATTGTGACAATTTACAATCCCACGGCTAGTGTCTAAAAGATAGTTTTATTCAACTCTCAATATGGATGCCAACTTTTAGAAATGAATGCCAATAGCTGGAAAAACGATAGTCTACATTGTATTAGGCGTTGCTTTTAATATCTTTTTTTCTGATTTTAAAGTAATACAAGCTAATTGCAGAACGATTGAAAAATACAAAAGATTACAGAAAATAATCACATCACCCAGATATAAAAATGACACAGTAGTTTTATGAACATTCCTTTGTCTTCTTGCTATGCACATATTAAATAAATAAATAATACTGATAATGTTGAAATCACATGGCTTATACTTTTATATCTAAATTTTTAATTTAATGTTATATATCATGAAATTTTGTTATCAAATATTCTCCAAAGCATTATTTTCATTAGTTGCCAAATAGTCTCTTATGAATCTGCTATAATGTAGTTAACTTCCTTGCTTATTAAACATGTATTGCTCAGTATATAAAGAATCACACTACATATCATTGTTCATAACATTGGACTGCATTTCCAATGATTTCAATAGAATTTATGACCAGAAGTGGAATTATAGAATCATGGGTTTAAATAGAGTGGACATTTTAAAGTTTCTTGATAAATATTGGTTAAAAAATTAGAAAAATTTTTCTAAAATGCTTGTTCCAGTCGTATATGGAAGTGCACTTCACTCTTCCCGACATTATTTTTTGTTTTATTTCAATGATTCACGTTTTGCCTTTTTCTAACTTTTTCATATTTGTTTGAAATATTTGTATTTCTTCTCTGAATTCACTGATCATGTCCTTCACATATTTTTCCATTAGATCTAGTATTGTGAAGAGAATTGGGCATCCTCCCCTGAGAATCTACTTGTGCTTGTACAGAGCCCAGAAGGATAACTGTATTGCTTCCTAGTTCATCTTCTTAAATATTTCGAGTCAGTCACCTGTGGCTCTTAGTGATAAGTGTTCTCTTATGTTTCTAAACATATATGATTGTAGTAACTCATATTAGTAAAGGAGTTTTCTTTCTTTTAAAATTTTATTTATTTATTTTTTCCCCCAAAGCCCCAGTAGATAGTTGCATGTCACAGCTGCACATCCTTCTAGCTGCTGTATGTGGGACACGGCCTCAGCGTGGCTGGAGAAGCGGTGCGTTGGTGCGCGCCCGGGATCCGAACCCGGGCCGCCAGCAGCAGAGCATGCGCACTTAACCGCTAAGCCACAGGGCCGGCCCTGTAAAGGAGTTTTCAATTCATAAAACCCTTACACATCCATTATCATTGTTGTCCCTGTGAGGTAGGCAGGGCAAGTTAGTGCCATTAGCATTATTTTAAGAATGTGGAGGTTGGGTTCCACAGGAGAAAACTGTACAGCCAGTGGGGAGTAAAGTCAAGACTCAGGCTAGGTCTTTCATTCCTAGATCTTTTACTTTTCATTAAGTCATATTACCAATGTTGGTATTGTCCAGAAATATAAAATGACTCCACACGGGGTAAGAAGGTTCTGAAATAATGTTAAGGGACTCGGTAGCAAATGCATATACTGTATTTTTAGAATGAGACTGATTTACATTTGGGGCTTTTAATTGCAGTCATCCATCAGCCTTAAACTTTCAATGTCTAAATATAAAGATGCATCAATGTAAATGAGCCAGCTGCATTTTTACACAGAGCATGAATTGATGAGTTTATGAATGAGTGAAGTGATGGAAATCAACAGCAAGTGTAAGAATATTCTAGCCCATTTCAATAGCCTAAGCCATATGTCAGTACCTTGGAGAGCTTCCAATTTTATGCCACCGCTCCCCTACAAACATGCTCAGAAAAGACAGGTTTTCAACCGCCAAAGGAAAAGAGGAAGCATTGTACATGGATATCTTCCATGTTTTTTGAAAACTAAAAGATTATTTCATTTTTCATTTGCCTACTTGAAAATCGCCTTTCTTTTCTCCCCCTTTAAAAATAAAATTGCCCATGGTTTGTGAGCTTGTGAGAACTTATTTGATTTAAGCAGCTTTATGGTATTTTTTTCCTATCGGAAACACATTGCTTTGCCACGTCTGCAAATCAAAATATGCTTTTCCAACGAGCTTCTAGGAGAAAATCAGCTCTCCCTATTTCAAGTGGTTTTTACTCATGAGTAAGATCTATTTCTGAAGACATTATGGAAGCAGAGTGTGGGTCTCCAAAGGTGTAGCCAGGAGCTGCCCTACCGCAGGAGGGAGGCCCTTGGGGCTGCGCCAGTTCCAGCCTCTCCAAGCCCTGTCGCGCACGCGCTTCCCGCCCTAGCCTCCCTGCACCTGCCAGGTCATAAACCCTTTTCCACCGGCTCGCGCTCCCTCCCGGGGGCTCAGTCTTGTCTCCTGTTGATTGGTCGGAGCCGAAGAGGTCGCGTCCAATCAGCAATCTCTCCTGCACAACCTACACCCGCTCTTCCCGCCCCCTCCCCGCCTCGCCCACCCCTCTCGGAACATACCTTCTTTGTGACTGGTGCGCGCGCAGGTCACTCAGCGCGGCGGGAGAGGTGTGCAGGGGTGGGACGGGCGGGCGGGAGGGGAGGGGAGGGGAGGGGCTCAGGTGCCGCGGCTGGCCGGACGGGGGAGGGGAGAGCGCCGGGCGGGGCGGGGGGGGCGGTGAGGAGGGGGTCACGCCGGCGACGTCGGCCGCCGAGGCCTCACGCGTGGGCGGCGCGGGGCCGGGCTACCGAGCTTTCCCGGCGGCGGGCAGGTGGTCGACGCCGCTCCCGGAGGAGCGCGGCGTGGAGGGCGGCGGCGGCGGCGGCGCGGTCGACGGCGGCCCGGCCATGGAAGAGACGCGGCCGCTTCCGCAGGCCGAGCTGTCGCTGTGCGACAGCCTCATCATCTGGGTGAGTACGAGGGGCGAGCGCCCAGGGCCGCGGCGAGTCGCCCGGGCCGCCCGGCTCTCCCCAGGTGAGCCTGAGGAGCAGGCGGGCTGCGTGACCCTCCGCGCCTCCCGTCGCCTTTGACCGCGGGAGTGCATCTGCGGGTCGCGGGGCAGGTGTGTGTGTGTGTGTGTGTGTGTGTGTGTGTGTGTGTGTGTGCCCGCGCGCGCGCGTGTGGTACCTCTAGGGGGCGGGGGGTCGGGGGCCTTGTCTTATCGTGATCGTGCTCCTAACAGCTGTGGCTGGAGCCAAGCGCCCGTCCCCTTTCCTGCTCCCTGCCCCATTTTCTCCCTGCCCCGCGCCCGCGCCCAAGCCCTAGACTTTCTGGATCACCGACTCTCTGGCCTGCCGTCTTCTGGCCTTCCCAGAGGGACCTGTGTGCAACTTTGGAGTGAAGACCCCCTCCGAAACCTGCCTCCCAGCCCAGTCACCTTGCTCTACTTGGACACAGGTGGCCAAGAAGTGGTTTTAGTTCCTGGATCAGTGCTCCTCCAGGACACCAGGATATCCAATTTTGTAGAAGCCTCGCAGAAGAGATGTTTCCATGTATTTCCTGCATGGAGAAAAAGATATGATGGGGGTGGGGCTCACATTCCCTTTTTCTCGCTGGTTCCCCCTCCCCCTCCAATGGGCAAGCATTTTCTTTAAAGAAAAAGAGGGCATTTTCCTTTGCGTTTTATCCATGTTTACTATTTTTGTTAATTTGTGTTGGGTTTGGACAGGCAGACTGTCCCCAGTATTCCCGTCAGCAAAATGATGTCGCACCTCTTGGAGATGCTCAGTGATTAGGGAGCTGGCATTTAGGTATGGTTGCTAAACTGTATTGGGCAAGGTTGGTGCTCGATGGTCCACAAAGTGCTGTTGATGATGCACATCTGCAAACCAGTTGTTTAGTTGTGTGAAGGGGAGTATATGCAGAATGGAATGTCAACAGACTGGATCAGGAGGCCATAATTGGTTGATGAGATTCCCTAGTGATCTCCTAATGTGTGTAATTCAAAAGTATGAGAAATCAGGAAAGGTTTCTGTCAGTGTATGAAGTCTATTGGAAGTAACCATAATTGAAGGCAACTTTCACGCTTTGGAGGTAAATAGCTTTGGCTTTAAGTGGAATGCAAGTATCTAGGGTTTCTGAGTTAAAAGCAATTAGCTAACTGTTCATCTGTATTTTCATGTAAAATAAGTATTAGGGTGTAGATGCTGTATTTAAGACTGAAACAAGGCAACAGTACTTTTAATGATGTATTTTGTTAAAACAAGTAACTAATTAAATGGTGTATCCTAATCTGTTACACTGTTGCCCTAAACATCTGACTTAATAGTAAACTTTGTTTTTATGATGTCATTGACTTATATATGAGATGGTGGAGAAGCATAGGATTTTCTTGAATTGTATTATAATATTTAAAAATATTATGTGACTTTAGCGTTCTTTTAACTGGTATTTATTGAGTTCCTACTTTGTACAAGGCACTGAGGAAGACAGATATCAAGAATAATCAAAGAACTTGTAATATTACTTGGAGTTACAGTGGAAGGCAAAATTCCTTAAAAACTGCAAAAATGTTATGAACCAAATGATGAGGAATCACAGACGACAGATTATAATTGGTTGTTTGCTTCTCCAGTTCTCTCTCAGGTTGCTGAAAACACTGTGGAGAGAATGGAATTGTTGTGCAGACTATTGCCTAGACAAATGCTGCTACAGCCATATCCCCCTCTTCTCATAACACTGCCCAGCTTTGCGATTAAGAGTAACCATACAGTTCCTCTCACATTTCTCTCTGCAGACCTTTATCAGTACCCTATGTGAGCCCCAAACTCTTCTCCTCCTCAGGAAAATGACCACCTCCTTATCTTTGGCTCTGCCTTTAGATCCCATCCCTTCTACCTTTTTCTGTCATTTATCCCCTTTCTGTATGTGCAAGTTCTTCCTCTCCATTGGCTCCTTCCTCTCTACCTGTAAACTTGCGCAAATCTTCCCTATCTTAAAAAGAAAGAATAGGGGCGAGCCCCGTGCCGTAGTGGTTAAGTTCGCTCACTCTGCTTCGGTGTCCTGGGGTTCGCGCATTCGGATCCCGAGCGGGGACCTATGCACCGCTTATCAAGCCATGCTGTGGCAGGCGTTCCACATAAAAAATAGAGGAAGATGGGCACGGATGTTAGCCCAGGGCCAGTCTTCCTCAGCAAAAAGAGGAGGGTTGGCCACAGATCTTGGCTCAGGGCTAATCTTCCTCACCAAAGAGAAAGAATAAAGAGCCACCACTTCCTATTAAAACCACACTGTATTTCCCCTTCCCGGTTAGATTTCTTCAAAGTTTTTAATGCTCATCCTTTATACTTCTTGAACCTTCATTCACTCCTGAACCCACTGCACTTGAGCTTCTTTTCTCTAAGGCCTTCACTTACTTACTGGATTTGTTAAATTGATAACTGTTATATTATCCTTGTCTTACCCGTTGGTTTCTTTGTGAAATTATCTTCTACCTTAGTTTCCTGAATACCTGTCTCTTGGCTTTTCTTTACCTCTCTGGGTGATTCCCAGTGAACTTTGCTGTCTTATTTTGCCTTTGCCAGCCACGGCTTTGTTGATGTTACCTCACCTCCCCAACTTTCTCCAAACTCCCCTCATGCCACCGTGCCGACCATACTGCATTGACTTCCTATGTCTTGAGGAAGTTAAGCTTTTTTTTATATATACACATCAGGGCTTTTTAATTTCTCTTCCCTCTACCTAGAATATTCTTCTTCTGGTTCTTCCGGTGGCTAGCTTCTTCTCACTGTTCAGTTCTTGGGTCTGTTGTCATCTTTCAGAGAGACTCTGATGGTGAGTGACCTACTTGTCCTCCACTCCTGTCCCAGTGTAACCTGTTAACCCCTTTCTGTTGGGTCTGTAACACTTAACACTTTCTGAAGTCATCCCGTTTGCTCCTTGGGGTCAGAGCGCTTGTCTGACTTGTTTTCTGCTCTATCCCCAGGAACAAGACTGGCTAGGGTCTCCAATACAACGTTGAATCAAAGTGGTGATAGTACATATCCTTGTCTTGATCCTGACCTCAGAGACCAGTATTTCATCATTCAGTATTTCACCATTAAGTGTGTAGGTTTTTGTAGATACCTGGAGTGAATTTTTAACTGTGTCATAGAGGATTGATGGATTTCGGCAAGTAGAAATGAGGGGAAATGAGTTTTCCAGACACAGGGAAGAGTCCCTAGCATTAATGTAAATGGTCTTCTTTGGCAGTAGATTGAAAGGAGGTAGTGGAAGACACATTTGTCATGATATCCCTGGTCTCTTAATGTGCTCTCTACCATGCTAAGTGATGTTACATGTTGACGGGAAGTACTAGGAGATGTAAGATTTAAAAGTTATGATGGGGCCAAACCATGGAGGTGAGAAGACAGTTGGTATAAACTGTGTTTTTCAGCTCTAGACCTTGTTCTGGGACAATAGAACCACGTGAGCAGAATTAGAGAAGTCATCAAGAAAAGTGGGTTAGGGGGCCGGCCCTGTGGCTTAGCGGTTAAGTGCTCGCGCTCCGCTACTGGCGGCCCGGGTTCAAATCCCGGGCACGCACCGATGCACCGCTTCTCCGGCCATGCTGAGGCCGCGTCCCACATACAGCAACTAGAAGGATGTGCAGCTATGACATACAACTATACTGGGGCTTTGGGAGAAAAAAAAAAAAGGAAGAGGATTGGCAATAGATGTTAGCTCAGAACCGGTCTTCCTCAGCAAAAAGAGGAGGATTAGCATGCATGTTAGCTCAGGGCTGATCTTCCTCACAAAAATAAATAAATAAATAAGTAAATAAAACTGTTAAAAAAAAAAACAAAAAAGAAAAGTGGGTTAGGCAAAGAGATGCCTCTTTTGGCAGCCTTTAAAAAGTTACATTTTATGATTTGGAACTCATCCTAAAATAATCAGTTCTTAGAAATGTTATACTGCTACTTAGCAAAAAATTTAGGGCTAATGGGTAAACTTGGGCATCCGTGGTGGAGGGAGTATATGAGAGTTTGAAGTATTTGCATGAAAATAAATTTAATTCTACCTCTTGCTCTATGACATTTTGGAATTCAAAATCTGTGGACTTTACTTTCACCAATAAAATTGGAGGATTGGACAAGATTTTTTTTTTTTTTTTTTTGTGAGGAAGACTAGCCCTGAGCTAACATCCGATGCCAATCCTCCTCTTTTTGCTGAGGAAGACCAGCCCTGGGCTAACATCTGTGCCCATCTTCCTCTACTTTATATGGGATGCACCACAGCATGGCTTGACAAGCGGTGCGTCAGTGCGTGCCTGGGATCCGAACCTGCAAACCCGGGGCCACCACAGTGGAGCAGGTGCACTTACCCACTGTGGCACCAGGCCGGCCCCTGGACAAGATTTTTTTTTAATGGTTCCTTTGGTTCTTGCGTTCTTTGACTTTGGCAGACAGGTGAAGAAAGACTAATACCAAATATATGCCCAAATTAACAAAAAATATTAAAGGCTGCATCATTTTTATGAAGATCTTAAAACAATGATCTTCTTTCTGAAATGAGCAGCTAGAGGAGGAGAACGTGAGAAGAGAATTGACCCAAGGTTGAGTTTTTGTTGGGTCTCAGTTGTGAAAACCCCCTTTTGTTCCTTGATTTCTGTGACATTTGCCTTGAAGCAGTTCAGGAACAGCATTTCCACATTTCTGATTATTCACTTTATTTAAAATAAAGAAGAAAATAAGATGGTTATTTGCCAGAACACTGTGTTTAGTGATGGAAGCCCTGTCTATCCTTTTTGGGTCACTTGCTAAAAAGATTTGTGCCCCTTCGCGTCTGTGAAGAGTAGTGTGAGAGAATACATTTTGTTTTGTCCCTCTGCTTTGGCTTCACTCCCCCCACTGAGCTTTTTAATTTATTCTCTCTTCTTGGTTATAAAACCTTCCAGTTTAGCCAAATGAAATTATATTCTCTGTTATGTAATTTATTTTGCAACTAGTTTGAGAACTTCCAAGAGACACTCCAATTTCCATGGCTGTAAGAGGGAGAAATTGATCTTAATATGGGCATGGTGGGCAACCAGGCAACTGCTTAGTATCTGTACTCCTTTTACGTATTTCTTTACTATTTTGCCTAATATTCTGTGCCTCTGAAATTGTCTTTTTTAAATCACTAATCATATCCATTTTGTAAAAAGTTAATGATGTAAAGTGTAAGTAGGAAGGGTTGAAAAGTAGGAGCCACAGTTTAACTGAAAGTATATGATTATCTTCCTTTTAAAGATGCCCTAAACCCTGGGGTTTCTCTTCCCTGTACATGCACCCAATTGCAAAATCCTTCTTATTTTATTTTAAATATTCCATGAATTCATCCTGTCCTCTCAGTCAGCATTACCCTAATTGTCTGTAAGCTATCCATTTATCAATAAGACCATTATCAACAAGCCTTCTAACTGACTCAAGCCTAAAGCTACTCTCTTCCGTTCTCTGTGTCACTATTGCGGCTATCCAAAACATACTGAAGATATCATTCTCTTCCTTACTACTCTTAAGTGATTCTTCATCACCCAGAGCAGTAGTTCTAAAAGGTTGATGTGCATAAGAATCATTTCGGGATTTTCTGATTTAATATGTTTGGAGATTCTGATACATATTGTTCTGAGACCCCACACTTGAGAAACCCTGACTCATAGCTAATGTGCTAACAGCTGTTGAGCTTGTACCCCGTGCCAGGCACTGATCTAAGTACACTATGTTTGCTAATTCATTTAATTCTCACAACCATCTTGTGACGTAGAAACTATTCTACTGTTTCCCATTGTACAGTTGATACCGTTAAGGATAAGTCCAAGCTTCTTGTCACGGCCTTCCAGAGTCCTGACCCATGCCTGTTTTTTTAACCTCCTTGGTTGTCACACCTTCCCCCTCCCTCCTTGCACTGGAAATCCAGTAATACTGAACTGCATGTTGTCTAAAAATACCATCTCTTTTCATGTATTTGTGCTTTTATCGTGTTCCTATTTCCTGAAGCTTCTTTCCCCTTGCCCTTTCTTTACTCAAGACTTTCCGTTCAGAAATCGTCTCTAAGTCTTTCCTAAATACAATCCCTGATTAGATTGGTTGACTCACGTATATTTCAGAACACTTTGTGCATGCTGCAATCATAGGACTAGAAATGGCATTTTCTAGAAATGATTTGTCTTTTTCTCTTCTCCTTAACTCTTGATTGAAGCTACTTGAGAGTACAAACCTGGATATTTTCCTTTGTAACTCCATCCTGTGCTACGCTGTTCCACATAGAGTAGGGGCTCAGTAAAGTATCTTTGTGCACTTTGAAAGTAACTCAGGCCAGATTTAGTTCATCAGTGTCATTCTTCCATTTTGTATTAGGATAATGGAGACAGATTTGTAGAATCTCGTAATACACAGAACCACTGAAGGTGAATTATGGTGGGATAGAATTTTATTGGATTAATATAGTTAAGTGGTAAACTAAGGAATTATAATTAAATAGTGAAGGAGATGAATATGTGTGGGAAAAGAGGATCATAGTATATTTAATTTAAGATACTTATGGGTTGAGATTAGATTTCTAGCAAGTATATGATCCATGTTAGCTCTTCTGTAATTTGCTTTTTAAAAATTCCTCTGCCTTATATTTACTTACTAGAAAAAGATGCCACCATTACACTTCTCTTTTTAATATGTATATGAATGTTTAACAAATAGAGATTTTAAAAGTTAGTAATATCTAAAGCCAAACTAGATAGAAACAGCTTGATGTAGTGGGTGGGCCCTGGCCTGTTCGTGCCTGAAGGCTGTGTGTTGGACAGCAGGCAGAAGTCCTGCCTTATTTTAGAGCTCATCAATAAACTAGTTTTAAGACTTGAACTTCTAGCCTTTGTTTTCCTACCAAATGATATGAGTGAAATTTTAACTTGCAAATGTTAGATTATCTTAAAGTTCTTTTTCTGATGTTAGTCTCCTAAAAATAGACAAAACACAGACTATTACTGTCCTAAGAGTTCTACATGTGGCTTTCAGAAATTCTGAAGTACTTCATACATGACATCAATATATTTGACTTTTTAGGTAAAATTTTTCATGGTTTTAGGAAATGTTAAGTGTTTATTTTTATAAAAATATTACACAGCCATAGAAACTTATTAGTATAGTTTCATTTGTTTGGCAAGGTCTGAATTTAAAGGAAACAGGAAAATTTTTAGCTATTTTTCTCTCTGGTGTTCAATCATATACATATTTTGCAGGGACGTAATGCTACCTTCTAGGTTTAAGGGGGCAGTCAAGTCATTTGCTTTATGTCATTTTAGCTGCAGACATTCAATACTGCTGCGCCTTGTCAAGATGTCAAACAGCTGACTAATGGAGTTGCCATGGCACAAGTTCTTCATCAAATGTAAGTAGTGGTCCAGACTCTTCCTGAATGAATTATAAACCCAATACTAAGGAAGAAAACTTAGACTTGTATTCTAAACGTTATTGAAACTTTATTCTATTCAGTGAGGACAGGCATATGGTACCAAGGCATTCTTGCAACTAGGAAACTAAAAAGTTTACCATCGGATTATTCCTTGCTTGTTCATAGAGATACACCTCAATTAAATGAGCAATCAGGATTATTATCTATTCAAGAGATATTAATTTTAAACTTGTTCTGGTCATGTTCACAAGTTATGATAACTGGGAAAGAAACAGGTTAAATGAATGTTATAATTGCTTATAATGTTTCCTTCAGTTATACTATTGTCATTTTAAGGTATCAGTGCATGGAGATTATTATTTTAGAGCTAACTTAAACAAAATACCGGATTTGAAAAAACATTAAATTTTAAAATCTATATTTGAATTAATAACAGTAATTGTATGAATCTACCAATAATGAAATGATGTATAAATTAAATTTGAAGTCACAAATGCTGGGGAACCTTAACTAATAAAGTGATTCTGTTTGGGTTAGGCCCTTTTTACATAATTACATAATATCAAAAGTTCCGAAGTCCATCATTTCCTAATTTTTGCCAAACTTTGTGCAAGGATTAGGGTTATAATGTCTACAATGTGAGCTGTACCCTTAGTAGGACAAACAGGGCCAATTCTGTAGTCATAATTTATTATCATATTGATTTTGTATTATCTTACTTTCATGGTAATATATCTTCAGTGAGACCAGAATCCTGTCTTTGCTACACTGTTTTGTAGTCAGAGTTTATTTAATTGTTGCCATCATTTTGTAAAGGTTTCTTGTGATTGACATTGAAAACTTTGTAGATGGTTAGCAAAAATTCTTTACCACTCTTAGAAAAACAACATAAAGCAGTATCAAAATCTTAATTACTTGGAATCTTTAAAATGATCTAATTTGAATAGACAGATTTTATGGTTAATTCAAGATTAACACTTTAAGAGACAAACTTAACATGTTAACATTTTTTGGGGGGGCAGTTACTCTAAAATATGCCTTACTCCCCTGTTTTCTTGAAAATGTTATATATTTTATTTATGTATACTCTGATTGGTTTCAAAGTGATTTAATTGGTCAGAGCCATGCATTCTGAGCATGGTCCTTTCTGGGTGATTTGGGGAAGGCATTGTTGTGTCTTGTCCTTAGAATGTACACCTTGCCTGTTCTTACTGCTGTGTATTGTGGGTCTTGGTGTAGATGTGAGGCTGGTATGCGTTCACTCACTTCAACAGGGCCATCCTAAGATGTCATTTATATGCATTGCAGTGGCTTTAGTAGCTTTGTATCACAACACCATAGAAGAGACCTATTTCTTTTATGATACAATGGATATGGCTCTTTGACCTCCTATACTCCAGCACTGTGCCTGATGTTTAGACTAGGGTCAGGTCAATTTTAGTTCAACTGTATCCTTTATCACCAACTCATTTTTCCATAATCTCTTGGATTCTGCTGTTATTGCTGATCCTCTGTGTCTCTGATTTTTCTTTTTATTCTCTCTTTGGTGTCTTATTGTCTTCTAATTGCATTTCTGCAGGAATAATAAAATAGCCAACCAATCACAAAGTTCTCTTTCTTCGTAAAACAAATGGCAGTGACCTAAAATGGAGCCTAGACTTCTGTTTTGCTTCATTTGCCTGTTTTTGCATGTACTTAAATGTCTAAGCCTCCTTATCATTTAAGGGCCATTTGAAAAGTTATTTTTCCTTTTGAACCGCCTACCAGTTTTGTAGTTTTTCAGCAGTCTGGATGCAGATAGTGAAACTTATAGCATACATTTTCCTCTAGTTGGGTCAGTATATCATATTCCTGCTAAAAGGGCAAACTTTACCATATTTCTTTGAACACTTCAAAGTGCTTTATATATGTTTCAGTTTATTCTAGAATTCATTTATGGCTATTGTGACTCACATCAGATCACATCAAAGTTGTTAAGATGAGAAGGGAAATTTTGCTTCTTAAGGAAGTAGCAAAGTTTAACAAATAATTCCTTCATTATTTACTGAGGCAGATATACTTCTATATAATAAAATCTTAAAAATCAGTGCCCAACTACCTGACTTAGACTTGGGGAGTCATGGAATTATTGCTAGGGTTCTACAGTTTCTTAATTATCATATAGTCTGAATACATAGTATGTGTATCTCTTTTTTAAATGTACGTAGAAGCTGTCGTTATTTAAAAAACACATGGGGGAAAACTATAGCTACAACTGTATTAGTTTCCTGGGGTTACCATAACAAAGTACCACAAACTAGGTGGCTTAAAACAAAAATTTGTTCTCTCATAGTTCTGGAGGTTAGAAGCCCCAAATCAGGTAGTGGCTGGGCCATGCTCCCTCCAAAGCCTCTAGAGCAGGATCCTTCCTTGCTTCTTCCAGCTCTGGTAGCCCCAGCCATCCCTTGGTTTGTGGCAGCATAACTCCATTCTGTGTCTCTGTCTTCATGTGGCCATCTTCCTTCTGCTGCTCTGTGTCTCCTCTCCTCTTCATAGAAGGAGACCAGTCATAATGGATTAAGGCCCACCCTAATTTAGTATGATCTCATCTTAACTACAACTGCAAAGACCCTATTTCCAAATAAAGTCACATTCACAGATACCAGGGTATGCCTTGAACATATCTTTTGGGGGGACATAATTCAACCCACAACAATTATAAATAGTGTATGTCACTTCCCCCAAAAGAAAGGCTTAGCTCTGTCACTGTAAGCATCAGATAACTTGTCTGCTTTTTTTATTGTCTTTGACTACACGTTTTCGCAAGAAGGAAAAGAATGAGCCAGAGTATGTGGAATATTCAGAGACCTCAAGTATCATGCACTTATTTGTTCATTCATTCATTCAGCAGATATTTGAGCATTTAAAATGATAAATCATGACAGCCAACATCTGACTATTTACTAATTATAAGACATTGTTGTTTACCTTATACATGTTATTTCATTTAATTTTTACTGTTCTCTGAGGTAGACATTATTTTTATCCAAAACTTATAGATGAGGAAACAGAGGTTTTGAGAGGTGAAATGACTTTTGTAAAGTCAAACAGTGAGTAAATAGCAAAGCCAGGATTTGCATCACTTTGGCCTCACTCTACAGCTAGTTCTCTCAGTCAGCTGTAATCTTTGAAATCAAGTATCTTGGACCCCTCTTGATAGATTTTTAAATGAAAGGCCAGATGTGCATGTTGAAAATACAGATCACAATTTGATGTGTTAAGCACAAAAGGCCTTTTGATTATTCAAGAAGAATAGTGTCAGGGTGTCCATTGAAGCAACACAACTATGTTGTGCATAGTAACCAGCAGGGATTAAATACTACCTGTGTTTAGTTGATAAAATTATTGAAGACAGATGCCATGGTGGAGTTAAAAAATAATCGTGTAGTGATTCCAACTTACTTTTATTAGAAAACAATTGGACCATATTTTGCTTCCTTAGTCTCGTGTCCCCTTCTTATTTGGTGTCCCTTGGACATAAGGCTAAAGTTGATTTGGGATGGAAAAGATGACAAGGAGGAATGTAAGATAACAAGAGGAAAGACTAGAAGAGGTTTCTTGTTATCTCTAGATTCATTTTCTAAAGGTAATTACAATGCTGTTATAGAATCATATATGAAGATTTTTTTAGGGTCAGTTGGAAGACTGGTGTAGTAGTCAGGGTTCTCTGCGGACATCCACGTGGAAAAAAAAACATGAGTCTAAACATTGACCTTACACCTTTCACAAAAATTAACTCAGAATGAACCATACATCTAAATGTAAAACTCAAAACCATAAAACTTCTAGAAGATAATATAGGAGACAGTGTAGGTGACTGTGCATTTGGCAGTGTTTTTAAATACAACACCAAAAGCATGATCCATGAAAGAAAAATTGATTAAATTGAACTTTATTAAAATCTAGAAACTGCTCTGTGATAGATACTTTTAAGAGAATGAAAAGTCAAGCCACAAACTTGGAGAAAATATTTGCAAGACACATATCCAACAAAATACTTGTATCCAAAATATGCAAAGAATTCGTAAAACTCAACAATACAACCCAGTTACAAAATGGGCAAAAGATCTGAACAGAAACCTCACCAAAAAAGATATACAAATGGCAAATAAGTGTATTAAAAATCCCTAACATCACATGTCATCAGAGAATTGCACATTTAAACAACAAGATCCCACTACAGACCTATTACCAAGGCTAAAATTAAAACAAACAAACAAAACCCTGACAAAATGCTGGCAAGGATGTGGAGCAACAGAAATTCTCATTCACTGCTGGTGGGAGTACAAAACGGTAATGCCACTTTGGAAGACAGATTGGCAGTTTCTTACAAAATTAAACATACTCTTATGATATGATCCAGCAATCACGCTCCTAGATATTTATCCAAATGAGTTGACAACTTATGTCCACACAGAAGCCTGCACATGGATGTTTAGAACAGCTTTATTCATAATTGCCAAAAACTGCTACCAGGATGCCTAATATGAGATATTAAGTAAATGTTTGTTAAATTAAAGATGTTAATGACTTAAGTAATTTATTGTGAGAAATTCCAAAAGAAATCCTTAGGAATAACAAAAAATTCAGTGGGTTCAAGTAAATAATATTTCCTATTCTTATTAAGGACAGGCTTTAAGATATAAAATAACTTTCTCTATTGATTAATTTTGGTATTTTTCGTGTAATAAAAATGTTTTAATGTTTAGCATTTCTATTTTTGTTTTAGTGATGTAGCTTGGTTCAATGAATCTTGGTTAAGCCGAATTAAAGAGGATGTTGGTGACAACTGGAGAATAAAGGTATGCAGAATGAATGGTAGAAGCACTTGGTCCAGTCAGTAGGTTCTAAGATTAGCCCTAAGCTCAACTAAATCTCTCTTTTTTTTAAATTAACTTAAGGGTGCATTTTATTATGTACAGTTTGAGTTTTGACACTTGTGTTTGTTCTTAGGTAACTACCATCATAATTAGATATAGAACATTTCTGTTAACCCAAAACATGCATTTATGCCCCTTTCCAATTAATCTTCACTCCTAGCTTGGCCCCAGGTGGCCACATATCTGCTGCCTGTCACTGTAGATTTCTTTTCTAGAGTTTCATATAAATGGAATCAGGAATTATGTTCTCTTTGGTACTCTTCGTGTCTAGCATCTTTTACTCAGTGCAATGCTTTTGAGACTCATCAACGTTGCCTGTATTAGTTTTTATTCCTTTGTTTGCTGTGTAGTATTGCATGACATTGATATACCACAATTTGCTTAGCCACTCACCTGTTGATGGATATTTGAATTGTTTGTTTCCTCTTCCTTTTCTAATATTTGTAAGTGATGTCTTCTGTAGTTTATTCTTGATAAGTCTGGCTTGATGTTTTTCTGTTGTATTGATTTTTTTCAAAGAATTATCTTTTGTTTTCTGTTTTATTGGTTTCCTCTCTGATCTTTGTTATTTCCTTTCTTCTTCCATCTGCTCTTCTTTTTCTTGCTTCTTAAGGTAGAAGCTTAAATCATCAGTTTTAGGTCCTTTTTTCCTAACATTAAGCATTGCCTTAGTCACATTCCGCACATTTTGACATACTATGTTCTTATTTCATTCAGTTCAAAAGTAATTTCTCTTGTGGTTTTTCCTTTAGACCCATGGGTAAATTTGAAGTAGGTGTTTCAAATTCTAAATATTTGAGGATTTTTCTAGGTAACTTTCTTTTATTTATTAATTTCTAATTTAATTCTGTGATGGTTTGAGAACATACTCTGTATTAAGAAGTTCTTTTACATTTACTGAGACTTATTTTATGACCACACGTATAGTCTGTCCTGGTGAATATGCCCTGTGCACTTCAAAACATGTATTCTGCAGTTCTATAAGTATGGAGTATGTCAGATTTGTTCATAGTACTGTTTACATCTTTTATGTCTTTATTTTCTTTCTGATTATTCTATCAATTAAGGAGAGAGGAGTCCTTAAATCTCTAACGATGATTGTGGATTTGTCAATTTCTCCTTTAAATTCTGTTAATTTTAAATCATGTAATTTGAATCTCTGTTATTAGGTTTATATTCATTAATTTTTTTATATCTTCTGATGAATGAATTTACTTATCATTATAAAATGCCTTTCTTTATCCCTGGTAATATTCTTTGTTCTGGAGCCTAATTTGTCTGATATTAATGTAGCCACTCTGGTTTTGTTATGATTATTTTTTGTTTTAGTATATTTTTTCTATTATTTTAATCTCTCTGTGTCTGTATATTGAAAGTATTTTATATAGACACCTAATAGTTGGGTCTTAACGTTTTTATTCAGTGACAATCTCTTTATCTGGTTCTTTTTAGAAATATCTTCCATTTCTTTTCATATATTCCTGTTTTCATTTAAATCCTTGAACATTTTTAAACGAGCAGGTTTAACATTATTATCTTCTATTCTTTCCTCTCTCATTTCTGGGCCCATTTCTATTGACTGAGCTGCTCTCCTCATTATAGTGCACACGTTGCTGCTGCCTCACACGTGTAGTGATTTATTATTTGATGCTGGGCGATGTGAGTTTTATTGTTGAGTGCTGAGCTTTTTGTATTCCTTTAAAGAGTGTTGGACTTTGTTCTTGCAGGCAGTTAAGATACTTGTGAATGAGGTTGATCCTTTCAAGATTTTGGGAAGTGGGAGGCATATCTAGAGTTATTTTTTCCTCTAGGGCTAGGTTAGACCCCCTACTAAGTTGTGACCTTTTTGGGGTCTTTAGTGAATGCTTGTCTATACAGCATAGTCTCCTTACTCTGGCTAATGGGAATTTCAACAATCCTGGCCTTGTGTAATCTTTGGGACTTGTTCAGTATATAGTTCCCTGGATTGTTCTTTCCTTGGAAATTATTTTTGTTTAATCTCATTGAGTTTCATCCATGCACATGCAAATTAGTGTTCAGCCAGAGTCAAAGGAATTGGCTTTGCACTGTGCGCATTTCTGGAGTTCTTTCTCTCCATAGCTCACCTCTTCATTTGTGTGTCCTGTAAATTCTAACTCCCTTGACCTTCCTGAACTTCTAATGTCTATCTCCTCAACTCAATGAGAACATCAGGCTTTATTTAGTTTCCCCCTCCCTATGCCATGGTCTGAAAATCGCATCCAGGGAGAAATCTTGGACTAGTGTAGGGCTCATCTATTTTGTTTTCCTTCTTTCAGAAATTAGGGTTCTATGTTGCGTGTTGGCTAAAGCTTGAAAACAATTGTTCCTTGTATTTTTTCCTGTTTTCTAGTTGTTTGTGGTAGGAGAGTAAGTCTAGACCCTGTTACTCACTCGAGACTGAAGGTGGACATGCTCATACCTAAATCTTTCAAGTTGGTACTTGAATTCATTGTGACTCACTCATTTGTGAATCACTCTCGTTAAGCTATGTAAGCATGAAGATATTTTTTCTTTTAATCAAAGTCTGATTAAAACTTTGATGTTTAAAAATTATCATGTACTTGTATTTGTAGAACTCTAATATTTAATGTTGTCATTTTTATCAGGGGGAAGTTTTTATCATCTTTCTCCTTGGCATACATTTTCTTTCATTATTAATATAAAATAATTTATTTAATTCTTATTCTCTTTCCTCATTAGGCTAGTAATTTAAAGAAGGTACTTCAAGGAATTATGAGTTATTACAATGAGGTATGAAAAACATCTGACTTTGTTTAAATACACAATGCTATGTGATAGTTGATGCTGAAAAATGACTTGGCTTTTTGTTTGTAATGTTTTAGTGGAATATAATTCATAATTGGAGTAGATTATTGTTTTTTGCCGTTTGTAGAACACTCAAATTTTGTGAACATAAACAGGCTTAAACTTAATACATTGATTTGTAAAATAATTTTGCTTCTATATTGATACTCTTTAAATTGATTATTTTCTCAAATAGAATTACCTTCCTCTTTATGTGATTTGATTGTATGCTATACTAAAAAGTAGACCTTATAAATTAAATTGAGGTAATTTCCTATTTAAAGCATTATTTTGACATTTCCTTTCAATGTAAACAACTGCAAAGATATACTGTGAAATTATGCTTGTGCAAGTGAATTGGGGGGAAAAGTGCAAAATGAAAGTAATGGTAAAGTCACATTAGATAGTGCATTATCCAAGTAGTGTTTTTTTTTTCTTATTCAGCAGGATAAGTTCTCTATTAGGATTATCTGATATAAGAAAGTTTATTGCTTAATATTTAGAAGCTTTTGGTTTGGTTTTGCTATTAAAGAATTTGTTTCTGTTTTTTGAGTCAGTTACAATTTAATTTCCTCCAAAAAACTTTGACTGAAATTTTTCTTTTTTTTTTTTCTTTTTTTTTTTAAATTTTTTGTTTATTGCAGTAACATTGGTTTATAACATTGTAAAAATTTCAGGTGTACATCATTGTACTTCTATTTCTGCATAGATTACATCATGTTCACCACCAAAATACTAATTACAACCCATCACCACACACATGTACCCAATTATCCCTTTCACCCTCCTCCCTCCCCCCTTCCCCTCTGGTAACCACCAATCCAATCTCTGTCCCTATGTGTTTGTTTATTGTTGTTATTATCTACTACTTAATGAAGGAAATCATACGGTATTTGACCTTCTCCCTCTGACTTATTTCACTTTGCATCATGCCCTCAATGTCCATCCATGTTGTCACAAATGGCTGGATTTCATCGTTTCTTATGGCTGAGTAGTATTCCATTGTGTATATATACCACAGCTTTTTTATCCATTCGTCCTAATGCCTAAAGCTCATTTTGAAGCTTTTTTTTTAATGCCAAGAAAACTTTTTAATAAGCTAAAAAAAAGAAAGGCCAGGAAAGATTAATCCTTTAGATTTGTTGTTTATTTATTTTGTGGTTTCTGTTAATAGATCATATATCAAAATACTATGAATATCCTTTGACTTAACATAAATCTGTTTACTTTTTTTTTATAATGTATTTTTTTGTGTGTGTGAGGAAGATCAGCCCTGAGCTAACATCCGATGCCAGTCTTCCTCTTTTTGCTGAGGAAGATTGGCCCTGAGCTAAGATCCGTGCCCATCTTCCTCCACTTTATATGGGACTCCGCCACAGCATGGCTTGACAAGCAGTGCATCGGTGCACGCCCGGGATCTGAACCGGCGAACCCCGGGCTGCCAAAGTGGAGTGCGAGCACTTCACCGCTGCACCACCGGGCTGTTTACTTTTTAATGGAAAGGCTTAAGTTTTATCCTAATAGATCAGGACAGGGGTTTCTTAAACAAGCCCTCTCTCTGACAGTGGGAGCAAAGAATATTTGGTGTGGAACCATTTTAGTTGGTTTTGGTTAGTTGCTCAAAATTTGGGGAGATTGCTTGAACTTTGCTAACTGGTTTTAGTCAACAGATAAATTTGTTAATTTATCTGAGTCATTTCATGAACCTGTTTCTAATTTATTTTCCTTGTAATAATTAAATGTAGTAAATTCTTTGTAGCCTACATAAATGGCTTATCTAATTTATTGTTTGAATACCGCAGTTTTTGGGGCAACAAGTTTCTGAAGAACTGATCCCTGATTTAAATCATATAACTGAACGTGCAGATTCTGTGGAGCTTGGGAGGCTGCTCCAGCTTATTTTAGGTTGTGCAGTCAACTGTGAGAAGAAGCACGGTGAGTGAATTTCAGTCACTTGAGGATGTCTGCTTTCTAGAAACAACCTACATTGCTATAGAAAGTAGCATAAAAGTGTACTACTACAGGTTGGCAGAAAGCACCCTAAAAGAAGATCTGAATTCTAGTGCAGCTCTGCCATTAAAAAGCTACAATCTTGAGTCTCCTAATTGTACCTGGGTTCTGAGATTCATATTCAGTGACTAAATAAAATGTATTTCAGTTTATCTTAATATATTCACTGTTTAGGACTTAGTGGATATTCAGTAAAAATTTTACTTATTCATCTGATACATTATATCTTTCACATGTGAGATATAGAACCTTAGGTTGATCCAGATTTTTATAAACAAATAGGCAGCAACTAAACTATAATCCAGGCTTCTTCAGATGATATTCTGCTCTTTTCAGAATACCTATCCAAGGTATCCTCCAGAGAAGCAGTCTGATGATATAAATGGAATTGGTGTGTAATTTGGTATATCCAGACACAGTGATCCATATCCTGCTGAGTACAAAAAGAGCATTTTTGGTAGAATGTAGTGAATAAAATGATGAACTGAACAGATCAAGATCTGCTTCCCTTGGGGGCTTGCATCAGTGTGGGTGGTGAGATTTTTTTTTTTTTTTTTGGTGGGGAAGATCAGCCATGAGCTAACATCCGTGCTAATCCTCCTCTTTTTGCTGAGGAAGACTGGCTCTGAGCTAACATCTATTGCCAGTCCTCCTCCTTTTTTTTCTTCCCCAAAGCCCCAGTAGATAGTTGTATGTCATAGTTGCACATCCTTCTGGTTGCTGTACGTGGGACGCGGCCTCAGCATGGCCGGAGAAGCAGTGCGTCGGTGCGCGCCTGGGATCCGAACCCGGGCTGCCAGTAGCGGAGCGCGCGCACTTAACCGCTAAGCCACTGGGCCGGCCCAAAACATTTTTCTTTTTTTTGTGAGGAGATCAGCCCTGTGCTAACATCTGCCAATCCTCCTCTTTTTTTGCTGAGGAAGACTGGCCCTGGACTAACATCCGTGCCCATCTTCCTCCACTTTATATGGGACGCCGCCACAGCATGCCTTGCCAAGCGGTGCATCGGTGCGCACCTGGGATCCGAACTGGCAAACCCCGGGCCACCGCAGCGTAGCGCGCACACTTAACTGCCTGTGCAACCGGGCAGTGAGATTTTTGATGCTGATGTTTTTTGCATGATTCATCCGAACTTGGCCTTAGTACATCACCTATATAACAGAATGTTGGGTGCTTAACTTGGTAAAATACTTTAAGCTGGGACCTTAGAAAACATATTCAATGTTATCAACTAATGAAAAGAGCATATGAGACAGGATAAATTTATTAAGAACAAATTCCGGAAGGAGAAAAATAAAATACATGAAATCAATTGTAGTTTATCAATAAGAAAGGGATTACATATCAGAAGACTTTGATATTAGTCCATCTCTATCATTAACTAGCTGTTTTTTTCTAGGAGAAGTCAGTACTTTTCCATAGGCTTTTATTTCTCACAGATAATGTCGAAGATCTACATTTTGGGTTTTTCATAAAAGTAAGGAACATTTACTCATGGAAAATGAAACTTTCTGTAAATGTTTAATTACAAATTGACAAATAGTAATTCATTTATAAGTTAGCAACTTTTTATTATTGTGATCTTTTTTATTTTTTAATCGATTAATGCTTTGTTTCTATTTCAGTTACTGGTTATTTATAACATCTTTTTGCTTAATTAATTTTAGCACATTTGTCAGGTTTGTCTTTTTCAAAGAACCAACTTTTGGCTTTGATTCTATTTTGTTTATACTATTTAACGTCTGTTTTTATCTTTTATCTCATTTCTTCTATTGTGAATTAATCAGTTCTTTCTAGTCTAAGCTATAATTGACATTTTAAGCCATAATTTCCCCCTAAGTTATGATTTTGTTGCCTCCAACAAATTTTGATATAATATGTAATATTTTCATAATTTAGTTCTAAGCATTACTTAGCAATTTTGTCCTCAGATGTTTTAAAGGAAATTTAATTCCTGGATACATAAATGATAATTGAGTAGGTAGTATGAGAGTTCCCTTCTCTCCACATCCTCTCCAACACATGTTGTTTCCTGTCTTGTTAATTATAGCCATTCTGATAGGCGTGAGGTGATATCTCATTGTAGTTTTGATTTGCATTTC